CGCACGCACGCACGCACGCACGCACGCACGTACGCACGGATACTCAGAGATGAGTATGCACTATTTCGTCTCTAGAAAATGCCTTTTTTGGCATTTTTTTTCGCTGATTGCAATAATTTGCATTATGCACGCAAGTTAGATGCCTCGTGGACGTCTAGAAAGCATTAGAAGTAAAATTGGTCTTGTTGTGTATTCGTGACATGTACACGTGCGTGCGTGCGTGCATGTGCACGTGTGTGCGTGTGTGTGCACGTACACGTGCGTGCGTGCGTGCGTGCGTGCGTCCGTGTACGTACACGTGCGTGCGTGTGCATGTACACGTGCGTGCTTGCGTGCGTGTGTGCGTGTGCATGTACACGTGCGTGCTTGCGTGCGTGTGTGCGTGTGCGTGCGTGCGTGCGTGTGCACGTACACGGCTAACTACGAACTCGCTTATAACGAAAACAATGCCAAGCTATGACAAAAGAAGCGTCAAAAGCGCCACCTGACTGTGTAGTATGGTCAATTTTTATTTATTTTTAGTTGAGTAGTAATTTTATAATGTTTTCTCAATAAAATAATGCATGCTGCGATACGCTGGAAACACTTGCGGAAAATTTCGAGTGCTTTACGGCACCTCTTCAGCTCGTGTAAAGTCACGCAAAGGTTTACGTAAATTTTAGCTTGATGAATCGCACATAAAACGGCCTCGCTTGCGTACGCGAAATCGTACGCAAATGTACTAAATAGCTGCGTTGATGAATCGCAAACTAAGCAACGTCGACTGCGTACACGAGATTTACGAAAAATATTTTGCGTACGCGCGTTGTTGAATCTACCCCGTGGCAGGAACCCATCGTACAGCACCTGCTAACACGCTATGTGACTATGTGACTATGCCGTGGTTACCCACGCACCTGCCACGTGCAAGTCATTGCACTCTGCGGAATTCTCATTTTTGGTGACCAGCAGAATGAACATCACCTCTCTACCCTGCACACCACCTCTCTACCCTGCACATCACCTCTCTACCCTGCACATCACCTCTCTACCCTGCACATCACCTCTCTACCCTGCACATCACCTCTCTACCCTGCACATCACCTCTCTACCCTGTTGCACATCACCTCTCTACCCTGCACACCACCTCTCTACCCTGCACATCACCTCTCTACCCTGCACATCACCTCTCTACCCTGCTCGGGCGCAGGTCTCGCGGCAGCCACACAGAGAGAACTGGCCGGTTAGCCGATGAAAGGAGCGGTCGTGTGTGCAAGTCTATCTCCGGTCTGTCGGCCACGCCTCAGCTGGCAGTGCGTCTTGTACCTTCAGTGAATGAAGGTGAGTGTGTGGGTCTGTGTGTGGGGGGGGGGGTCGCTCTCTAGTCGCGTGCAGGTCGCTCTCTCTACCAAATTGTGCGTGCGTGCGTGCGTGTGTGAGTGTGTGCGCGTGTGTGCGTGTGCATGCGTGCATGTGTGTGCGTGTTTGTCTGTGTATGTGTGTATGTGTGTGTGTGCGTGGTGTGTGCGAGTGCGTGCGAGTGCGTGCGTGTGGGTGTGCACGCGTACGTGCGTGTGCGTGTGTGTGTGTGTGTGTGTGTGTGTGTGTGTGTGTGTGCGTGCGTGTGTGTGTGTGTGTGTCCATACGCCACGCAAGCCCCTGCCACAGCGCAGACTAAACAGTATGCCACTACTAGTACTACCATCCCAGCATTTCGTACATGGTACATCACTAAACGTAACATCTGTTAGATTCACGCCACCACACCCTATATGGCCAGACACCATCGTCTATAAGTGAGTGGACTATTGTATAACAGCTCCGCGTACACCCGCCGGGGAGCAGGTTTGAAACCAAGATCTACATATATGGTTTTATTGGTGGCTAGTCACAAATCAAAGTCAACTCACACGCATGTACACAAATTTGCGCACGCATACAAATGCACACTGCGATGAAGAATCGAAAAACAATCCATTGAAATCCATGATGCCAAGTTCACCTACAGTGCAACGTCAGAACAACTATGGTCAAAGTCAGAACAACAAGCAAAGTTTACTGGCCCAAGTCAACACATACAACACGCGCTTGTAATTGTAAGGCAAGCCATCGTAAACGCTCCCCCATTCATACGCACAGATCACACAGTTCACCGGGTACAGAACCATAGACAAACAGCCGTGTAGTTAGACATGCACAGACAGTTAGGCAGTCAGGCAGGAAGGTCTGATGCCATAGCCATTCACTTCGCCACGGGCTGGAGGTGACTATAG